GAGAGAGAGAGAGAGAGAGAGAGAGAGAGAGAGAGAGAGAATGCATGTGTTGAACCCTTTTATTGAGGAGAAGCCATTCAAATGAGGCAAGGGGTCAGGTTTTAGGGGATTCAATGTAGCTTTATGATGTCTGCTGTCAGCAGATTGGCTGACATGTAGGAAGGTCACACCCAAAGGCAGGAAGAGCAACAGAAGGGGACACACAAAGGAAGTTTCCATGGAACATTCTATCCCAAACAGGGCAAAAGGGTAGGATTACAAAACAATAGGTGAGTGTAGCTCAACCCCAGGGGGGTGCCTACTCAGAAGATTGGCCTTGCTATCAGAGGGTAGGGGAGACTGAGTCCTGACTCATTGCACTACTGTGCCAGACTACAGTGGTCTTTCAGATCCCCATGGTGCATCAGGATTGGAAAGTGTGGAACTCATTGTGGCTCCTCACATAGTGGAGCCTAAACACTTCTTAAAAGTTCTAACTCCCAATACCATCACCATAGCACTTAATGCCAACATGAGTTCTGGAGGGTACAAATATTCAAACCATACAGAGGGCTTTGGAGAAAAATGTTGAGGAGGCAATCCTTTGGCCATATCACTCTTATGCTAACCTCTCTCCAGATTCCTTGATTACTGTAGGAAAGATATTTGATCTTGGCTGTGTATCCACCCTTTCCCCTTACTTTCTATGAGTTAACATGTTTATAGTCCTCTATAGTAATTAAGAATAGAAACTTCTTTTTCCTGGCAGTTACAAATTCATGGAATTTTGACAAGACATTAGGGAGTAAAAAAATCACCAACAAAATGGATTATCTGATATTTCCTGGTTTCTTCCTCTGATCTTTGCTTTGGCCATTTTCCTTTTGCCTGACACTCCTCCATCTATGTATTGCCCCTTTTTAAAAAGTTGTTAATTTTGTCTGATAACATATGTAAATATTTCTCTTTTGGAACTGGTTTTGAGCCTAGGAAATTTTTTTAAAAAAATGGAGACTTCAGGGACTTTATATTTTTCCTGGTAAGCTGTTATTAAATCAATAGTTTGTATGGTAAGTCACTGGAGTAAATATGTTTTAGTTAGCTTTTTTCAGTACTGTGACCAAAGATCTGCAAGAACAACTTAGAGGAGGAAACGTTTATTTTGACTCATGGTTTCAGAGGTTCAGTCCATACTCTGCTAACTCCATTGCTCTGCACGTGAGGTGAGGCAGAATACCCTGGCAGAGGGACATAGCAAAAGAAAGGCACTCAGGACATGACAGCAGGAAGCAGAGGGACAAAGAGAAAGTTCTGCTAACCAGAGACAAAATATAAACCCCAAAGCACATCACCAGTGACCCACCTCCTCCAGCCACACCCCACCTGCCTACAGTCACCATCCTGTTAATATATTTCCGTGGGCTAATCCTTTATTAGATGACACCTGTCATAATCATTTCTCTTCTGAACATTTTTGCATTGTTCACACAAAAGTTCACACATGAACTTTTGGGCAACACCTCACATCTAAACCATAACAATATAGAAATCATTAGTTGATATGGGGATGTGGAGTTGGACTGCCCTAGGCTTTCAAATACTAAAAATATAGAACAAGGAAATTTAAAGTACTTTCTTTTTTATTTAAGGCAAGAGAATCCTGTAGGAGTCTGACTTTATTTGGTTTGTTTGATTCCAGATGGCATGGAAGCTTACATCAAAGTAGATAGCTGCCCAGAGGAACCTGAACTACGGATGAAAAATAACAAAGAAGAAGAAGAATATGATGAGTATCTTGATTCTGAAATGGATGTGTTCAGGTTTGATGATGCCAATTCTTCTTCCTTGATCCAAATTCGCTCCGTTGCCAAGAAGCATCCTAAAACTTGGATACATTATATTGCTGCTGAGGAGGAGGACTGGGACTATGCCCCATCAGTCCTCACCTCCAATGACACGTAAACTCATTTTGACTCTTTCCTACTCAAAATTTGTTTCTCAGTTATTCAAACCAAGAAATCCTTAAGCTATGTTTAAGAGTTAGTACAGGTATAGAATCAAATGGCAAGGGTTAGTGTTAGCTTTCTGGTTGCTATGACAGAACACCTAAGTTAAAAGAAAAAAGGTTTATTTTGGCTTGGTTTCAGAGATTTCAGTTCATGATTGGTTGCTTGGCCACATCATTTTTGGCCTATGGTGGCACAGTATATCATGGTAGGAGTGCCTAGTGTAGAAGGCCTGTTCACCTCATGAAAGCCAGGAAACAAAGAGTAGAAGGGGCCAGGAGTCACAATATCCCTTCAAGGGTACAGCTCCAGTGACCTAAGTTCCTTTCACTAGGCCATACCTTCTAAAGGTTTCACCATTTCTCAATAGTGCTGCAGGCTCCTGTCTAATCTCTTAACATGTGAGCCGTTGGGGGAGACTTCAGATCCAAATAATAGTAGGTATTAACATATTTGGACACTATTAAGTAGTTAAGTAGTACACATAGCTAAGTAGTAGAGATGCTTATATTTTTCTCACTCCCATTAAATAACATCAGATGTTTAAGAGTTGGATTTTTCCTATCTAAAAATTTCTATCCCAACCCCTCATATTTTTATCTCTCATACAGAAGTTATAAAAGTCAATATTTGAATAATGGTCCTCAGCGGATTGGTAGGAAGTACAAAAAAGTCCGATTTGTGGCATACACAGATAAAACGTTTAAGACTCGTGAAACTATTCAGTATGAATCAGGAATCTTGGGACCTTTACTTTATGGGGAAGTTGGAGACACACTATTGGTAAGTTAAGGATAATATTTGGGATTAAGTAAGAAGAAAAAGTATGGGAGATTTTGAATTTATACAACATTCATAATTCAGCCTTGCCTCCAATGGACATGATTTAAAAATAATAAATAATATAATAAATAATAATATATAATTATATTTTAAATATATCAATATTTATTATTGTTTATGATAATAATAAATATGGATATATTTTAAATATAATTATATAAGTATGTAGAATAAAATTTAATGTCACCCATTAAACTCACCACTCCTTTAAACTACTCCTGGATTAGATTTTGATACATATCCTTCCTGAACTATTTTCCTGATTATATACATTACGAGTCAGCAGCCTACACCAATTTAGCTTATGGCCTTATTTTTGCAGAGCCTACTAGCTTAGAAGGTAATTTATGTTTTTAAAGGATTACAAAGAGAGGAAGAAGAGGAACAGTGGAGGAAGACAGAGAGATAATGTAAATGTTTGCTATCTAGCCTTTCCTATAAAATGGTTGATGACCTCTGATCTAGGGTATTAAGAATGCTTACAAGGCACAGTGGCTCAAACCTGTAATCCCAATGGCTCTGGAGGCTGAGGCAGGAGGATATCAAGTTCAAAGCCTCACCAATTTAGCAAGGCCCTGATCAACTTAGTGAGACTAAGTCTCAAAATAAAAAATGAGGGCTGGGTTATGGCTCAGTGGTAGAGCACTTAACCTAACACATGTGAGGTGCTGGGTTAGTTACTCAGCACCACATAAAATAAATAAAATAAACGTATTGTGTCCACCTACTATACACACACACACACACACACACACACACACAAATAAAAAGGGCTGGGGACGTGGCTCAGTGGTTAAGTGCCTCTGGGTTCAATCCCCAGTATCAAAAAAATAAATAAAGAAACAATGCTTACATCGCAAATAATAATCATGAACATGGTTTAAATAAGTAGTGGTTTATTTTCATTACAAGAAATTTGTAGTTATGAGCTGGGTGTGGTTGTGCATGCCTATAATCCCAGAGGCTCGGGAGGCCAAGACAGGAGGATCCTGAGTTCAAAGCCAGCCTCAACAAAAGAAGTGAGGTGCTAACCAACTCAGTGAGACTCTGTATCTAAATAAAACACAAAATAGGGCTGGGGCTGGGGCTCAGGGGTCAAGTACCCCTTCGGTCAATCCCTGGTACCTCCCCCACTGAAAAAAAGAATAAATTTTTGACCTTGTGTTAGATAATGGTTTCTTAGATATGACATCAAAAACAGAAGCAACCAAAGGAAAAAAAAGCCTTTATAAATAACTTAATCACTATTTAAAATGTGTGTACCTTGAAGGATACCAACAAAAAAGTGAAACAATAACCCATTGAATAGGAGAAAATATTTTCAAATCATATATCTGATCTAATACCCAAAATATATAAAGAACTCTTACAAATAAACAATAAAAATACATGACCCAACAAAAAAATGAGCAAAGGATTTTTATAGACATTTCTCCAAAGATAATATACAAGGTAATCAGTGAGCACATGCAAAGATGCTGAATACCAGGGAATTGCAAATCTAAACCACAATAAGATGCCACTTCATATCTACTAGGATGACCATGAACAAGAAGACAGACATGGGTTGGTGAGGACATGGATAAATTGCAACACTCATAAATTTCTGGTGGGAATATAAAATAATGAATCCATTAATGAATAATGAAAGTTCAAGATGAAATGACCATGTGACCTACTAATTCTACACCTAGAAATATAACCAAGAGAAATGAAAATATAGGTCGATTCAAAGATGTGTATGCAAATGTCTATAGCAGAACTCTTCATAACAGTTGCACAGTGAAAATCATTTAAATATTCACCAATTGGCTGGGTTCAGTGGTGTACCCTATAATCCCAGCCATTTGGGAGGCTGAGGCAGGAAGACAGCAAGTTCAAGGCAGCCTCAGCAACTTTGTTAAACCCTCTGCAACTTAGCAAGACCCTGTCTCAAAAAAAAAAAAAAAAAAAAAAAGGGCTGGGGATGCAGTTCAGTGGTAAAATACCTCTGGATTCAAACCTCAGTACCCAAACAGAAATGTTCACCAGTTGGTGAATGGATAAACAAAATGTGTTATGTCCATAAAATTGAAATATTATTCAGCAATTAAAAGAAATGAGCTATAATCTGATTTCTTTTCAAATTATATAAATATTTTGCCTTTTAGTAAAAGAGATGACTCACATTCTGCAACATGGATAAGACTCAAAATATTTGGCTTGGCTTTCTCACACTATAGTGGCTTTCTTCACACCATAGTGAGACTTCTTTCATGTAGGCTCAGGGTTCCAACTGTGTGTGTTCTAGTAAGCAAGTCATAAGGGTTATCGCCTTTTATGACCATCATCAGAAGTAACATAGCACTTCATGACATGATCTATTAGTTGAGATTAGTCAAAGCCCACCCATCTATCATGAAAGAAAAGAAAATATGGTCCATCTCTTGATGGGAAGAATGTCAATGAATTTGGGAGCCATGTTTCAAAGCTTACATAGAGACTGACAGCTTATTTTTCTAGTTCAACAAATATTGGTTGTAAACCTGACCAAGACAATAGGAGAAAGGAAAGTTAAAATTAAAATTACAGATCAGTAGCATTATAAACACAGGTTAAAAAAATCCTAAATGAAAATCTAAACCCAACACAGTAATGTATATAAAAGATAATACATTGTGACAGAATTATCCCAGGAGTAATAAATTAGCTTAATCTAAGAAAATCAAATGTGTAATCCACCATATTAACACATAAAAGCATAAAAAGGGAAAAGACCATTTGATAATTTCAATAGCTGCAGAAAAATCATTTGTCAAAATTCAGCAACTATTCATAAATTTAACAACAAATTGGTATTATAAGGAAATTATTGTCCTGGTAAAGATATAAACAACAACAACAACAAAAAAAAAACCCACTAAGTATCATTCTTGGTAAAATGCAGAAATCCTCCTATTTAAGATCAGGACAAGAAAGGTAACACATCTATTATACTGGAAATCTTAGCTTGTGTTCTTACAAGAAAGGGAAAGAAAATTTTAATATTTGAAAGGAATAAATAAGAGTGTTAATATGATAAGAAATAGGTGGTTTTAACAACAAACCCCATCAGTATGTATAAATATAATTCACCAAAAAAATGTGGGGAAAAAAGAAATATGTGTTTTACCAAATGAATGGGCTTTTAAGACGGGTGCAAGTGAAAGTAGATTTTTTAAAAACATATTTTTTTTAAAAAAAAATCAATGGACCTTTATTTTATTTATTTTTACATGGTGCTGAGAATCAAACCCAGTGCCTCATACATGCTAGGCAAGCGCTCTACTACTGAGCTACATACAGCCCCAGCCCCAAAAGTAGATTTTTTAACCTTCATTATCACACATCTGCAGATGTAGAGGAATAATTAATGTCTCCATGAGTCTTCATCTCTGCTTCCTTCCTCTCTTTTAAAGCTCTTTTAAATCAGATGACACCACTTGCCACTCCTGCTTGATGCTATAATCAACTGTCCTTCTAGTCAGGTTTGCTCATTCAACGAACATTTTATCATCTGAATCACTGTCTCCTTCTCCGAACAATGGAAAATGAGAGGAAGCAGTATCCTCATGCAATTAGCATAAGAAGGTGCAGGAAATATTTATTGAAACAATTGGAATCATTTTTAAAGAAATGAAAAGGCACCAGGGTGGTGGCGCATGCCTGTAATCCCAGGGTTGTGGAGGCTGAGACAGGAGGATCGCAAGTTCAAAGCCAGCCTCAGCAATGGATGGGGGGGGGGGAGAGAAAAGAAAAGATAAAAGAAATGGAAAGGGACCTTCAACGAGAAACATAAGTTGCTGTGTAAACAATTTCATGAAAAAAATGTTTTTGAATTTTATCTAGGCTCAAATTCTTATAATATGGATAAAGGCAGCTTTTGGTTTTCTGGAGATAGGCCACAGTTTTCTTGTTGACCTTACTTGTCTTAGGGTATCTTATATCTCATTTTACTTTTCAGATTATATTTAAGAATCAAGCAAGCCGGCCATATAACATCTACCCTCATGGAATCACTGATGTCAGTCCTTTATACTCAGGGAGATTGCCAAAAGGTAATAGCAAAAGTACTTGAAGTGACTCTTTGATAGCTTATGTAAAACACCCCTAAGGCTTCCTAGAATTGATTTGGTGTAACTTTAGGCTGCAACTCTTAAGTGCCCTAAAATCTTAAAGCTGATTGTTCTGATATGAAGGTCATGTTTTTTCTCTGAGTTTAGTTTTTTGCTTCATTCCACACTTTTGATATCTAATATTTTAATATTTCTACTTTTAATTTCATTATTTGTTGCTTAAAGATTCATGACATAGGGCTGGGGTTGGGACTCAGTGGTAGAGGTCTTGCCTAGCATGTGTGAGGCACTGGGTTAGATTCTCAGCACCACATATAAATAAATGAATAAAATAAAGGTCCATCAACAACTTTAAAAAATTAAAAAAAAAGATTCATGACATATCTTTGTCATGGATTACACCTTTTATCAATAAAATCCCCTTGGTTATCTTTTATGATCCTTAACTTGAATTATTTTTTTTCTAATTTTAGTATTGCCACATATGCATAATTAGTTTATCTTTTCCATGATATTATTTTCCCATATGTTTGTTTATTTCATGTTAGGTCTTGTCCACATAAAAAGCATACATATGGTTTTTATTAGTTTACCCAATCACCATCTATCAATTGGAGATTTTAACCTGGTCATATTATGTTAGTTTTGATATGCTTGTTGATAGTCTGGTAATTTTATATTTCAATTACAATTACTCATTTTTAGCAGTTTGAGTAAAATATTTTCCTTTTAATGAAATTTATACTATAAATATTCTTTCTAAATTTTAATTTTAATGATTTATTTTATCAAAATCATAGTTGCTTAAGGTCTAAGCTATTAAAGGGCTGTAAGTTCCTTTCCTAGAGGCTTTCATTTTTTTTGAGGGGAGTACTAGGGATTGAACTCAGGGGCACTCAACCACTGAGCCACATCTCCAACACTTTTTATATTTTATTTAGAGACAGGGTCTCACTGAGTTGCATAGTTCCTCACCATTGCTGAGGCTGGCTTTGAACCCACAATCCTCCTTCCTCAGCCTCCCAAGCCCATGGGATTACAGACATGCACCACCACTCATAGCTGAGGCATTCATTTTTAATCATTTTTGTTTTAGATTTTTGGTGTTTCATCTCAAAATCTCTAAACATTGCTTATAGTGCTAATTCTTTGTTTTTTGACTTCACAATTATATATTTGCTTGCTTTGTTTAAATATTTATTCTAAAAATTTTAAATCCAAAAACAACATTTGTGTTTTTTAAATAAGTTACTTTTTATACATATGCTTATTTCTGAACTCTGATTATTCTCTTGTCTATAATTCCAATGGTTTTACTATTAAAAATCAAATAAATTCTTCCTTATTCCCTACCACAATCAACTGGATAATCAGTTCTGGAATGCCACTCTCTTTAATGTCTTTTATTTTCCTTTGGCCCTTAGAATATTTTTCTTCTTCATATATATTTTTTAAACAAAAGTCTGCTGGACCCATTTTTATTGATAAAAAATTTAGTAAATCTTATACCAGGGGCCATTTTGGTTTCCATTTACTGAGAAATTTCTTACATACATACAGATTTGTAGAACCTTTGCAATAGCAACATGGTTACTATTTAAAGAAAATCTTTAGACAAACTTAAAATATGTATGGAACCAGTTTTAAGCCAAACTATTCAACTTAACATTACTAATATGTGGCTTGTTATATTCTAATTGAGTTATTTCTGGATTTGGTTGTGGGTAGGTGTAAAACATTTGAAGGATTTGCCAATACTGCCAGGAGAAATATTCAAGTATAAATGGACAATAACTGTAGAAGATGGGCCAACTAAATCAGATCCTCGATGCCTGACCCGATATTACTCTAGTTTCATTAATCTGGAGAGAGATCTAGCTTCTGGGCTCATTGGCCCTCTTCTCATCTGCTACAAAGAATCTGTAGATCAAAGAGGAAACCAGGTGAGTGTTATCCTTTCCAAGTTCTGGGTTTAAAACTTAAAAATGGAAGATGCATATGAACTTCCAGATATTTCTTATTCTCTCAATGTATGTCCTCCTGTATCCTGCAGAAAATACAGTAGTCTGTTTTATAGTAAAATAAAAGAAATAAACTGGGTTTCACTTAGAATGAAGTGAAAATTTTGTTGCTGTGACAAAACACCTGAAAAAATCAACTTAAAGGAAGGAAAAATTTTATTTTGGTTAATTATTTCAAAGATTTAAGTCCATAAGTCACTTGGCCCCATTGCTGTAGGCAATGATGAGGCAAAATGTCACAGTGGGTAGATTGTAGCAGAGCAAAGCTGCTCAATTCATGGAAGTCAAGAAAGAGAGAGAGAGAGAGAGAGAGAGCGAGAGAGAGAGAGAGAGAGAGAATGTGCACAAGAAAGAGACCACCCAGGGACAAGATATACTTTTCTAGGTCATGCCTCCAGACCTACTTCTTACAAGTAGATCCTATCTACTGCCACTTCCATTATCTCCTGTAATCCATTGAAATTATTAATCCATCAAATGGATTAATGCATTGATGGGGTCAGAGCCCTCATAATTCAGTCACTTCCCAAAAGCTCTACCTCAGAACACTGCTGTATTGGAGACTAAACCTTCAGCACATGAGCCTTTGGGGGACATTCCAGATCCAAACTATAATAAGACTCAATTAGCAAGTGGACTAACTTATAAATTTGGTTCATTATATAAGTTGTTCTGAAAAATTGATTTGTTTAAATAGAAAACTTAGATATTAGTGTTGTTTGTTGTTCTTGTAGTTCACCTTATCTTATTCTGTTTTTCTATTTTTACTTTTTTATAGATTGGTAGCCTTGTGGAAAGTAGTTGCTAAATGCATGTTTAAAGAGTTAAATCCTCTAATCAGAACATGGAGAGAATAAAACTACAGACTATACCCCCCCCAAAAAAAATCAGCCAGCATATGGCCTTAAAGCCAGAAAAACTAAATCTAGTGGATCCAGTCACCCTCTTGCCTAAACATATATTCACTGCTTGTAACACCCATCCCCATTCCCAGGTCCTGGTACATGCCATAACAGTGACCCTAACAGGAAACATAATTGAACCAAATTTATATATATATATGTCATTGCTTCCATCATAGATTTCTAGTGCCTGCCTTACAGTATCAGCAGCATTTCTTTCTCCCTTTTAATACATGCAATTAACAGATGATGTCAGATAAAAGAAATGTCATCCTGTTTTCTGTATTTGATGAGAACAAAAGCTGGTACCTCACAGAGAATATGCAGCGCTTTCTCCCCAATGCAGTAGGAGTACAGCTCCAGGATCCAGAATTCCAAGCCTCCAATGTCATGCACAGTGAGTAAAACATCACTTCAGTCCAGTGGGATAAAGGGAAATTGATGATGCCACCAAACTGATGTCCAGATAATGAATGCATTTAAAGGCCATGTGAGAGACACATTTAAAAATTGTAATCATATAACACATATTTCAAAAACCTAGTCACCAGTTTTCCTTTCAATGTTTACTTGACTGCCCTCTCCCATTTAGTTTTATTTTATCTCCTTCTAAATTAATACCTTTTGGGGCTGGGGATGTGGCTCAAGCGGTAGCGCGCTCGCCTGGCATGCATGCGGCCCGGGATCGATCCTCAGCACCACATACCAACAAAGATGTTGTGTCCGCCGAGAACTAAGAAAAAATAAATAAATGTTAAAATTCTCTCTCTCTCTGTCCCCCTCTCTCTCTCTCTCTCTCTCCCTCTCCTCTCTCACTCTCTCTTAAAAAAAAAAACTAAATTAATACCTTTCCAACAACCCTTCCATACCTAGGTCACTAATTTAAAGACACATTTTCTCCATAACAATACTTTCATATACTATATCATTATATTCATATTCTAGGACTGCTATAATAATTATTACAGAGATGTATTGTCTTACACTTCTGGAGGTTGAAAGTCTGAGATCAAAGTGTTGGCAGGTTTGGTTTCTTCTTTAGCCTCTCTCCTTTCCTTGTAGCATCTTCTCTCTGTATCCTCATGTGATCTTCCCCCTCTACCTGTGTGTATCCTAATCTCTTCATATAAGGTGATTAAGGCTCATTCTAATGATCTTATTTTATCTAACTGCCTATTTAAAGACCTATTTCCAAATACAGTCACATTCTGAGGTACTGGGTTTAGGACTAAACATCTGAATTGGAAAGGACACAACTCAGCCTGTCGCATATATACATATGTGTACTGTTTATATATACACACAAATTAAATGGTCAAAAGCATGATAAAATTTAAATCTCTCTATCATTAGGGAAAGGCAAGATAGAATGCCAAAGAAATAGTACTTTATAACTATCAGACTGGCAAAACTACAAGACCATTATTACTAGTGGTTGTATGGGTAAACAGGTATTCTAGTGGATCACTGGTACAGTCTTTTTGAAACAAATGTAGTTGCATCCATTAAAATTAAAAATATATGCCTTTTGAAATTTCAGTTCTGGTTAAGATGGAATAAGCACATGTCACTGTATCTATTCCACTAAATGTGACTAAAAATCCTGAACAAAATGGACATGGACATTATCTGAGAACCTTGAAATTTTATATAGTGGGTTATACTCTCCTTCCAGTATGTGACTTCTGTCATCTAATGCTATACCCCTTGTCTCCAAGTTTTAGCCCTTTAGCTTTGAGTTGAGCCTCATTTGTTAAATCCTAACCTTGGTACTTCACATATGACTGAATTTGGAGATAATATCTTTAAAGATTATTAAGTTGAAATTAAATTATTAGAGTGGGCCCTAATCTAATCTCATTGGCAATCTTGTAAGAAGAGGAGATTTGGACATATAGATATACCAGGGATGTACATGCATAGAGGAAAATCCCTGAGAAGACACAATCCAAAATAAGAAATCCAGAATACTTCTAAACCTCTCATTCCCCATTGCTTTGCAGGTATCAATGGCTATGTTTTTGATAGCTTACAGCTGTCAGTTTGTTTGCATGAGGTGGCATATTGGTACATTCTAAGTGTTGGAGCACAGACCAACTTCTTATCTGTCTTCTTCTCTGGATATACCTTCAAACACAAAATGGTTTATGAAGACACACTTACTCTATTCCCATTCTCAGGAGAAACTGTCTTCATGTCGATGGAAAACCCAGGTTAGTTATTTATATTCTCCTTTCAACAATAGCTGTGATTACCTCACTTGCCAAGCTCAGGCATAAAAGCAACCTTCTCCTGAGAACTGCCAAGAGATAACATAAAATTTCCTTAATCTTTTATAGAACATACCCTTAGTGACCTAAGGATCTTCCATTAAGCCTCAGCTCTTAAAGGTTCAACCATTTTCCAATACTATGACTTCCTAAGCTTCTAACACATGGGCCTTTGGGGGAAAACTGCATCCAAACTATAGCATATTGCATTATATGTGATTTTAATGCATAGAATGATAGGATAGATACCATTATCCTCATTTGCAAATTTTAAAACTGGAGCTCAGATAGCTTAAGTGCATTGCTCAAAGTTATACAACTGGTAAATTTTAGAGCTAGGAGTTCAACCCAAGAAGTCTGACTCTAGAAACTGTTGTAATATGACAATAACATTTAACCTATATAAAACCCTTCCTCAAGTCACTGTCAGCATCAGAGAGTTTTGTGTGACTATTAATAGTCTTCATTATTGTTTGTATTAATTACATTTCTCCATTTTATTCCATTTTTATTTATAGCCCTTTGTGTCACAAACAGGTATGGCACAATAGCAGCAATGCAAAATCCACTTTTACTACCATCATTGGATTGTTACATGTGTCAAGAATTTAACCCAATGACTTGGTCTTGACCAATATTTTTTCATTTATGTAAAAATGGAAGAGAACCTCTTAATACAGAATTTACTTCAAATCTGGATTCTGAGTAACCAGAGTCTTATTCTTTCTCATCTCCAGGTCTGTGGGTTCTGGGATGCCACAACTCAGACTTTCGAAACAGAGGCATGACAGCCTTACTGAAGGTTTCTAGTTGTGACAGGAACATTGGTGATTATTATGAGAACACATATGAAGATATTCCAACATACCTGATTAGTGAAAACAATGTTATTCAACCGAGAAGCTTCTCCCAAAATTTAAGGCATCTGAGCCCTAGGAAGCAATTCAAAGCTATCTCAATACAAGAAAATGACATAAAGAAGATTGACCCTCAGTTTGAAGAAGAGAGAACAGGGATCATCAAAGTACAAACTGTGTCCAGTGATTTTTTGATGCTCTTGGGACAAAGTCCTACTCCACGTGGGTTATCCTTATCTGATCTTCAAAAAGCCACATATGAGACTATTCCTGATGATTATTCACCTGGAGCAACCGACAGTAATGAAGGTCCATCTGAAGTGGTACACCTCAGGCCTGAGCTCCACCATGATGAAGACATAGTATTTACTCCTGATCCAGGTCTCCAATCAGGATCAAATGAGAATTTGGGAACAACTGTAGCAGTAGATTTGAAGAAATTTAATTCAAAAATTTTGGGTTCTCCAAATAATCTATCAGAAAATTTGGCAGCAGGTCCTGAAAAGACGAATTCCTTAGGAACCCCAAATATGCCAGTTTACTTTAGTAGTCAGTTAAGTTACATTTTATTTGGTACAAAGTCATCTCCCATTTCTGGGTCTGGTGTATCTCTGAGCTTGAGTGAAAGAAATGATTCCAAGTTTTTGGAAGCAGATTTAATGAATAGTAAAGAAAACTCACTGGGAAAAAATGTATCATTAATGAAGAGTAAAGGATTACTTAAAAAGAAAATAATTCACACACCTTCTTTGTTGACCAAAGATAATGCTTCTTTGTTGACCAAAGATAATGCTTTATTTAAATTTAATATTTCTTTGATAGAAGCAAACAAGACATCTAATAATTCAATATTGACTGGAAGAAATTACCCTGACAGCCCAACGTTCTTAATTGAGAATAGTACATCTGTCTGGCAAGACACTATATTAGAAAGCAATACTGGGCTTCAAGAAGTGACATCTTTGATCCAAGACAAAATGCTAATAATGCACAAAAATAATCCAGCTTTGAGGCTAAATTATGTGTCAAATAAAACTACTCCATTAAAGAATATGGAAATAGGTTACCAAAAAAGGGTGGGGCCTGTGCTACAAGATTCAGAAAATCCAGATATGTCATTCTTTAGGATGCCACTCTTGCCAGAGTCAGCAAATTGGCAGCAAAAGACCCATGCAAAGAACTTCTTGAATTCTGGACTGAAGCAATTAATATCCTTAGCATCAAAAAAGTCTGTAAAAGATCAGAATTTCTTGTCAGAGAAAAATAAAGTAGTAATAACAGAAGATGAATTTACAAAGGACACAGAACTCAAAGAGATGATTTTTCCAAAAAACAGGACCATATTTCTTACTAACTTGACTCATGTACAAGAAAATGATACACACAATCAAGAAAAAAAATTTCAGGAAGATATAGAAAAGAACGAAGCATTAATTCAAGAGAATGTAGTTTTGCCTCAGGGGTATACAATGACTGGCAATAAGAATTTCCTAAAGAACCTTTTCTTACTGAGTACTAGGCAGAATGTAAGTTTAGATGAGGGGACATATATACCAGTACTTCAGGACGCCAGGTCAGTAAATGATTCAACAAATAGAACAGAGATTCACATGGCCCATTTATCAAAAAGTAAGGAGGAAGAGGAAACAAACTTGGAAGGCTTGGTGAATCAAACCAAGCAAATAATGGAGAAATACATAAGCACCACAAGGATGTCTCTTAATCCATGCCAGAAGAATGTTATTGTTCAACATGGTAAGCAGACGTCAAAGGAATTCAGACTCCCACTAGAAGAAACAGAACTTGAAAAGGGTCTAATTGCAAATGACAGCTCATCCCAGTCATCCAAAAACATGAAATATTTGACTCACATAGACTACAATAAAAAGCAGGAGAAAACCATTATTCAGTCTCCCTTATCAGATTTTCCTGTGATGAACCATGACATCACTCAGATGAATAGCTCTACATTGCCCATTACAAAGATATCACCATTTCCATCAATTATACCTACAGATTTGACCAAGATCCCATCTCAAGACAATTCTTCTCATTTTCTAGCCTACAGTTATACTTTTAGGACAGAAAGTTCTAGGGCCCAAGAAAGAAGTCATTTCTTACAAGGAGCAAAAAGAAATAACCTTTCTTTATCCATCCTATCTTTGGAGATGATCAGAGATCAAAGAAAGGTTGGCTCCATGAGGACAAGTGCCACAAATTCAGTCATGTATAAGTATAATGAGAGTAATGTTCTCTTGAAACCAGTCTTGCCCAAAGTATCTGGAAAAGTTGAATTGCTTCTTAAACTTCCCATTTATCAGAAAGACCTTTTAACTAGAGAAACTAGTCATGATTCTCCTGGCCACCTTGAAGTCATAGAAAATATCCTTCTTCAAAAAACACCAAGACCTATCAAAGGGAATAAAACAAATAGACCTGGAGAAGTTCCCTTTGTTAAAGTGGCAATGGAAAGCTCTGAAAAGACTCCATCCAAGCTGCCGGGTCCTACTCTTCAGTTAGAGCAAGAAGACATTGACTATGATGATACCATCTCATTTGTAACAAAGAGGGAAGATTTTGACATTTATGGTGAGGATGAAAACCAGGGCCCCCGCAGCTTTCAAAAGAAAACACGACATTATTTTATTGCTGCAGTGGAGCGGCTCTGGGACTATGGGATGAGTAGATCTTCTCATGTTCTAAGAAACAGGTATGAGTCCATTGTCCTGATGTTGTGGTCTTTGACTTTACAACTGCTGAAATAGTAAGAAAGGCACCCCCAATTTGTAGCAGTGAGATACCAGACATTGCTTTACAGAGGAACCCTAAGAACCAGGTGGCAAAAAATCGAGATGAAGCTGAGGAATAAATGAGAATAGATAATTGCAAATGAAGATGTCATGGGGCTGGGGTTGTGCCTCAGTGATAGAGCACTTGCCTAGTATGTGTGAAGCACTGGGTTTGACCCTTAGCACCACATATTAATAAAATAAAGATCTCATTGACAACTAATTTTTTTTAATGTCATGAAATTCTTACTCTTAAGAGAGGTTTACAAGAGGAATAGAGGAGTCAGGGGCAAGAAGCAGCAATGGGGAAGAAAGTCGTCTTCATCTCTCAAACCCATAAGCTGCAGAAAAAATCTTATTCTTATGAAAGGTGTAAGAGAGGAGGGAGGAAGAAGTGAAGCATGTAGTAAAGAAGTTGAAGATGTAAGCAGGATTGTTTTCCAAGGTATGAGATCCAGAGGGTAAAATAGGGTGACTTGATTTTTAGGGGAGCAGAAGGAGGCTGGTCAAGGTAGAGAAAGCAGAGACAAATTTGGAAGACAAACATGATGGTCAGTCAGGAAGTGTTACATGGTATCTGTACAATTGTAGCCATTGGAGTGAAGCATAGTAGAAGCTTGCACTCTCTTGGGGAGAGCAAGAGATAATAAATCAGTAGACAAATAAGGGAATTTGAATGGTGCTATTCAGAAGATAGAATAGAATAATATGGTAAAGAGTGACTGGGGGTACTTTAGCTGTGGTGCTCAGAGAAATTCTCTTTGAGGAGTTCAGCCCAAACAAAATGGGGCAAACATGACTTGAGTATAGTGAAGAATCCAAGGTATGGTATATGGAGGGAAGATGAGGTGGTAGATGCAAACATCAGTCAGATAATACAGGTCCTAGAGGAGATCCCCTCTTCATTATTCATTGTATACTCATCCCACTTGCTTTCTATCTGAAGTGAGCCTTCATTGCTTCATGCTGATGCTATTCACCTATATTTAGCACTACATATGCTTCTATAATAATAAAACACTATTAAAATAATAAAATCAGAGACTGGCCTGGCAAGCTAGATTAGGAGGTGTTTCCCTGAAGAGGAACTCCATTCCCCAAGACTCACAAGCCTATTGGCCTAATCACTATGCTGCCTCCATCCTTCCCTGAGCTCCTCTAGTACCAGGCAGTCCAGCACAGAGAGGGAAGGTGGCTGGGTGGGGAGTGGGAACATGGTCTTTATATGGTGGTGGCTTTTGGGGGCCTATTTCCTGTGTGCTTCTTTGTTGTCTTTTTTTTTTTTTTTTTTTTTTTGAGTTGGGATCTAACTATGTTGCTCAGGTTGTTCTCAAACTTCTGAGCTCAAGTGATTCTCCTGCCTCAGCCTCCCGAATAGCTGGGACTACAGTTGAGAGACAACAAACTTAGAAGAGAAAAGACGCTTGCCTGGCAAAAGTAGAGCAGATGGAGGGAGAAGACGAGGACAAATTATTAAATAGCCTTAAGAAAAGAACAAAGAAGGAGAGGCCTTGTCCATCAGATATTCCTTTCTGTATGAATAAGACTACTGTCAATGTACATGGAAATTTACAGAATGAATTGCTGTCATTGAAAATGATTTCAATGAACTGACCTTTTGCTTCACAGTGGCAACACAATTCTTGCTTATTAGAGAGACTAAATAACAAGAAATTCAGCTTGAGCAGGCACTTAAAGCAAAGCCCTGGTGGGTATATTATTTGTTCCTGCAGAAGAACATTTGTAGTGTCATGAAGTGTTGAGTAAGCTCTGAGGAGGGAAAGGAAGAGGGTCCAGAGCCATGGACAGTCACAGAGGACAATACGCTAAAGAAGAACCCTAGGTGTTATCATGGCCATACAAAAGTGTGGGAAGTGGATTTAAAAGGATGAATCAACAGGTACTTTCCCTGAGTTAATAGGCTCTAAGTTGCAACCATCTTGCCTGCATTAAAGCTAAAGGTAGCAGAAAGAAGGAAGTAACAAAGATCAGACCAGAAACAACTGAAATGGAGATTAGAGCAATAAGAACTAAGAATTTTTTGATGGGCTAAACAAAACTTTTAGAGAAAGAAAATGAGGTGATGATATTTAGGATGTGTTGAAATAGTTATTAACCTAGAATTTTATATCCATCAAAATACAAATGAAGTTGAAAAAAAGGACATTTTCAGACAAGCCGAAACAAACTTCCCTGCTACCAAAGATTCATTAAAAATAGTTTATGATAGGCTGGTGGTGTAGCTCAGTGGTAGAGCACTTGCCTAACATGTGCAAGACACTGGGTTCAATCTTCAGCACCACATAAAAATGAATAAATAAAATGGAGGTATAAAAAATGTTGTATTTGTTAAAAAATAGGCTGATGTTATACTTACTTCAAAAGTGGTTCCAACAAAGTATGAGAAGCAAGAAGGAATAAAGAGCAAAGACTGGGTAACTATATGGATAAATATAAATAAGCATTATTTATATAAACAATGATAAATTTTAAAAATTAATGTATATATGATTGCTTTTTTCACAACATGTCTGCTTCCAAAACACAGATATCATGAAATCACTGCAAAATGTAAGCCAAAATTGGGAAAGAAGATTCATATCAACATCATTATCATTGAACAAATGGATTTGAGAAAGTCTACCATTACTGACAATGTAATCTACAAATGTGGTGCGATAACAAAGAACCATCAAAAAATTAAGAAGGAGGGTGCTGAAATGGGAAGGGGATCCTTTAAGAATGCCTGGGTTTTGGATCAATTGAAAGCTGAGGATGAGCATGGCATCACCATTGACATCTCCCTGAAGACATTTGAGACCAGCAAGTATCATGTGACCATCACTGATACCCCAGGTCATATAGACTATCAAAAACATGATTACAAGGCTGACAAGGTGGCACATGCCTATAATCTCAGCATCTCAGGAAGCTGAGGCAGGAGGATAGTGAGTTCAGAGCCAGCCTCAGCAAAAGCAAGGTGCTAAGCAACCCAGTGAGATCCTGTCTCTAAGTAAGATACAAAATAGAGCTGGGGAATGGTTCAGTGGTCAAGGGCCCCTGAGTTCAATCCCCAGTATCAAAAAACCCACAAACAAACAAACAAAAACATGAAAACATGCTAATCTTTCAGACTAACCATGCTGTTCTGATAGTTGCTGCTGCTGTTGGTGAATTTGAAACTGGTATCTTCAAGAATGGACAGATTTGTGAACGTGCCCTTCTGACTTACACACTGGGTAGTGCTAACAAAATAGATTCCACTGGGCCACACTACAACCAGAAGAGATATGAAGAAATCATTAGGGAAGTCAGTACTACCTTAAGAAAATAGGATACAACCCAACACAGTAGTATTTTGTGGAAATTTCTGACTGAAATCATGACAACATGCTGGAACCAGGAATGGTTCAAGGGATGGAAAATCACCTGTAAAGATGCCAGTGCCACTGGAATCATGCTGCTCATACATCTGATTTGCATCTGGTCACCAACTTATCCAACTGACAAGCCCTTATATTAGGCACTTCAAGATGTTTATAAAATTAGTGGTATTGGTACTATCCTTGTGGGCTAAGTGGAGACTGGTACTCTCAAATTGAGCAAGGTGCTCACCTTTGTCCCAATTAATGTTATAATTGAAGAAAAACCTGTTGAAATACATCATGAAACTCTTCCTGAAGATAATGTGAGATTCAGTGTCAAAAATGTGTCTGTCAAGGGCTGGGGTATGGCTCAGTGGTAGAGCACTTGCCTACCAAGCAAGAAGGCTTTGGTTCTATCACCAGCGCTGCAAAGAAGGAGAAGGAAGAGGAAGGTGATGGTGGAGAGTAGTAGGAGGGGGAGTATGAGGAGAAGGAGGAGGAGTGGCAATGTGGCAACATGGCTGGTGACAGCAAAATGGAAGTACTGCTGGACGCAAAGGCACACTCCTGTAATCTAGCTCAAGAGGCTGAGGCAGGAGGATCACAAGTTCAAAGCCAGCCTCAGCAACTTAGTGAGGCCCTAAGCAACTCAGACCCTGTCTCTAATAAAATACAAAATAGGGCTGCAGATTATCCTGACTTATGCACACCAAATCAATGATGGTTCTGCACCTGTGCTAGATTCTAACACAGCTCACATTGACACAGCTCACATTGCTTGCAGGTTTGCTGAGTGATTGCTATTCTGGTAAGAAGCCCGAAAATTGGTCCCACTGTAATTGTTTTTCAATACTAGAGATTGAATCCAGGGCTCAAACATGCTAGGCAAACATTCTACCACTAAAATACATTCCCAGTCCTTTTTTTTTTTCTTCAGACAGGGCTTTGCTAAATTGTTAAGGCTGGCCATGAACTTGAGATACTTTGGCCTCAGCCTCCTGAGTAACTAGGATTACAGGCATGGGATATCTATCATGCCAGGCTCCATTGTGATATTTTTAATTGATTTTATTTTTTAAATACATGACAACAGAATGCATTACAATTCTTAATGTAACATATAGAGCATATATATATATCTCTCTGTATATAAAGTATGTTCATACCAGTTCCTATCTTCATACATGTACTTTAGATAATGAGGTCCATCACATTCCACCATAATTGCTAATCCCCTGCCCCCTGTCTTCCCCTCCCACCCCTCTGCCCTATCTAGAGTTCGTCTATTCCTCCCATGCTCTGCCTCCCTACCCCACTAAGAGTCAGTCACCTTATATCAGAGAAAACATTCAGTATTTCTTTTTTGGAGATTGACTAACTTCACTTAGCATTATCTTCTCCAACTCCATCCATTTGCCTGCAAATGCCATGATTTTATTCTCTTTTATTGCTGCGTAATATTCCATTGTATATATATGCCACAGTTTTTAAATCCATTCATCTACTGAAGGGCATCTAGGTTGGCTCCACAGTTTAGCTACTATGAATTGTGCTGC